CTGGCATGATAGGCAGATTCCATAAGAGAGTAGCCAGTAATTATATGTGATTGGGTAAAAGTACAAATAGTTTTGAGGAAATATTTGCTGTATGTGTGCAGGGGCACCTTGTTGCTGTCTTATTTAAATAGAAAAAGTGTTTTAGTTCTACAGAATGGATTGCCAGAACTGCTTTATTCCTTAGAGAAATMATTTTAATTGCTAGTTTATTTCCTTTCTCCAAATACCAAAAAAGAGTATTGTTATCTTCACTTTTTCATTTAAAAGTAGTCTGTTTTAAAATATATAACKGCATGTCTTCTCCTTTCAGTGTTTCCATTTTAGTCTACAAATGCACCTTTTAGAAAACACAATTCTCTGATTAATTTCATTGGATATTAATCTACAAATGTTTATACTCAGAGGTAAAAATGACTTTCTGAAAATTAGTCATTACTGCTGCATTTTCTCAAAACTAATTTTTGGGGCAGCTATTTCASTTAATTAAAAAATTTACCTAGTGTGTGCGTTTGGCAGTATTTGAGCAATTAGTTAATGTATTTTGTTAAAAATCAGATATCAGACCTTCCTTTCATGGTGATAAAATTAAGCATCAATAAAGTCTAACACCATATCCTTGAGGGCTTCAGAGTATTTTCACTGTGTTGTCATCTCAAGTCTGTGATGTGATTTCAGTAAGTAGCATAATTAAAGGGACAATAGTTGTCAAATTAAATTCAGTCCTGTTGTCTTCTATTGCATCTGGCAATGACTCATGACAGTTGATCACGAATAAGTGAAGATGAGGATCCTTAGATGGATGATTGATTGATTGATTGATTGATTGATTGATTGATTGATTGATTGATTTTTTCATTGGTAATGTCACAAAGAGTATTCCAGTATTGGGAAAAGGCAGCCAAAACTTAATCTGCTGAAATGTGATGGCCCTCTGATTGGCTGTTCTATAATAATTTGTCTTGTAAATGTCCCTCCCTCCCTCCCTCCTTTCCTCCTTTCCTCCCTTCCTCCCTCCCTTCCCTCCCTTCCCTCTCTTCCCTTCCTTCCCTTCCTTCCCTTCCTTCCCTTCCTTCCCTCCCTTCCCTTCCTTCCCTTCCCAGAAACCAAGACTTTTTCTACATCATACTATTGTGCAACAGCAGATCTCATTCCTAGGTGTGCCTGCTGTTTTTCTCTGGTTGGAGTTATTAGTTTTCTTCAATCGCAGCCTAACAGAGAGACAGAGCTTGAGATGGCAGAACTTCTTGTTCAGTAATGTTTGTGGTTTGGATCGAATTAAATCCAGTATTAAAAAAAACAAAATATTCATGCAGTTGGATTCAACAGGGGCTCTTATTCCTAAATCATGTTTGGTAATATCCTCTGTGTCCTAGAGATTTATATCACTTTTCCATTTCTGTTAAAGAAAACATGTGACAGGAAGAGAATTAAATCTAAAAAGTCCCATATTTACCTATGTGATTATATCATCATTGACTTGTGGTGTCTTACTTCATTGAGAGGGAGTTTTATTGTTTCATGTTTGTTTCGGAACTATTTTCATGTACACCTTTGTCCCTGAAATAATGTCAGAAGCATAATGTAGTTATTACTTTTAAATATCACCTCTAGTTGTTTTTTGTTATCTTGATTGTGAAAGACCACATCACACACCGGAAGCCTTAATCTGTTAAGGGACAGCACTTACTGATGAAATGAGTATGTGATGCTTGGACTGTATTTGGGATTTTCTGTATATGTAATGTATGGAATGGATGTCAAGTCTTTGAATTTGACAAATGYTGAACACCAAGAATTAAAGAAGACTTAATCTTCAGTTGTGCTGAGCTTTTACAAGTAGTGCAKGTATTCAGCTTTCCTGAGAAAATTCAGTTGTAGCTGGAGAAGTATGGGAATATATTCAAAGTGTCATCAGACAATATCCCMTGTGAAAACTAAAAAATTAATCTCTACAATCCACAACAAGATGGCAACTCAGCATCAAGCATTGCCTGAGGTTAAAAAAAACTTATTTCCCCAAAAGAAAAGTGTTATGAGAGATGTACAAATAAATATTCCCTTTATACTCACARAGGTTGCCAACAATAATCCTCATAGCTGGTGCAAAGAATATCTGGAAAAATCCTTTGCTTTAATGTTGTACTGTTCAGTAGAAGAAAGGTGCTATGTACTTCAGGTACAAACAGTRTTTGGACAGAACTGCATATCTAAAAAACCAGTGGGAGATAATGCTCATATCCCCCAAATACCTGAAAAACAAAGAAAAAAKAAAAGTCTTCTTGAAATAGCGAAGAATATGCTCTCTGCTTTCTCTGCATGCTCTTCCTTTCAGTAACATGCTTCTGTCATTAGAGATACTTAAAAGGTTGTTTCTCTATATTTATATATAATACTAATTATCATCAGAATTCTAAATCTGCCTCATATAGCTATTAAAATTATTTTCTTAATTGAGTAGTTTACATGCAAATTCAGCATAAGTTCTTAAGGATTTTTGTATCTTCCTATGCAGTACCTACCTGTAGGGAATGGAATGTGTTACAAAGCAGGTACAATCAATCAAAACATATAAGCTGGCCTGACAGAATGGAAACTCATAGGTATCTAATGATACCAATAAAATCATATTTATGAAAGGCTCCAAGAATTTCATTCCCATGGTAATGCAAATTAGAAACCATGAAGGCAGTGACTTGGAACAGTAGCTCGGATCCTAACTTTACTGGGAATTCCCAAGCTACTCACATCAATTTTAATAGCTGCGTGTGCCTTATTGTTTCAGATTGTAAATTTACAGCTAGGATTAAGAAATATCAGGATGTGAGAGAGAAATAATAGTGTATTCATAAAATATATCTGCATGAAGGCTATGAAGATTTTACAAAGAGAAGAGGAACTCTCTCTTGCTTCTGTCATCGAAGTGGAAGTGATTTTGTTTCCTTCCAGAAGTATCTAAAACTTGAATTAAAATTASTCTYTTTATACACAAAATTTGCTAGASAGAAGWAATTCATCACACAGTGACAAAATCTTGAGCTGCAGGCTATAATTTGTTTGATTTAAAAGCTGTGTGATGAATCTGCTTTGACATGGGTCAAGATACCATTTAAAACATTCTTATAGAGCAACCAACTAGGATCAGTGCTAGAGCGTTCTATTTATGGAGGAGGGGCCTTAGGTACTAGAAATTTACTGGAGTAGCTTTATTAGCGATAAAAAAATGGGAATGTGAAAGCTTTGCATACTTCTGACTACAGTTTTAATATTTCATGTTTATCTGAAACAAACTGTTTTGGTAATTATTTGTAATTTGTCTCTGGAGCTCTTTCCTTGAGACTTTGGATACCTTAAATGTGAYCATTATTTACTAAGGAAATTCTGTCAGAATGATAAATTGGACTGGGAATATATCTRTTTGTTTCTAAAACCTTTTAATTTACAGTACCTCCATTGTATACAAGACAATAATAACTGTTTCTGTTGACCATTAAAGGAGGAAAGAATTTAAAAAGGTGGCTGGCTTTTGTTGTCTTCCTTTTGGCTTCCTGGTGTCTTCAATTACTGTTTACTTGTGTGACTCTCCTAGAGCTGGTGAAGCTYTTTTAAGTTGCTTCAAAATTGTTACTGAGAATTTACTGGACATATAAAGTCATACAAAGTATAGAAGAAGACACATAAATTGTGAAGGAGAAAATAACCTGATTATATCTGCAACAGCTAAAGACACATTAGTAATGGTGTTMATGTAGGGTGGAATCCAGCTGGAACAGGATTTATGGTCAATATGTTTAATCTAGGACATGAATGATGTCATCTAGAATATAAATCCTTGCCAGTATGTCTCCAGCTGAGGATTATGTCTGTAAGAATGGACAGTGTATGATGTGGGTTTGTGGGGAGGCGATGTCAGGTCTGCATGGCAGCACAGCCTGGGTGAGGGTAYTGCYRTGTGGCTGATGGRATAGAGGAGRTGCAGCAGGAGGGGAACTTCTCCATCCATGGGGTAATTCTAAATTTTTCCTACACCTCTTCCATTTTCTATGGTACTGTTTATTTTCTGGGTCTATTTTAATTTTCGAACTCTATCATCAGGGCTTTRGGGTTTTTTGCTTTGTCTCGGAAGGGGAGGAAGCAAGGAAGGAACTAAGAAATACTAGAAYGTACTGCCTTTATAGTATCACTTGTTGCTATTCAGCTGTAAGCAAGCAATGCTGCTGATTTAAAAATTTTATGGTTGCAACAGATTGGTTTGACTAAAGGAAGGCTGGAAGTTGAGATGAGTTCCATTTCTTGCCTCATACCACAAACTTTTTTCTTTACACTGTCTTAGATACAAAGATACAGACGTTCACAGTAATTGACCTTAASAGAAATTTCTGTGATGGGAGCAGGACAGCAACTACTGTAACTTTTAAAACCACAAGAATTAGGAAGATTTCRTCCATAAATTTGTATATATTTGTCTGTCTTGGAGGGGCAAATCTAGAGTAAACCAAACTTTTGGAGATTTTAAATAAAATACCATTATAGGCCTACAGCTATTAGGAATGTTTTGAATATTCTATAGGATAGTCTAGTGAATTATGTTCAACAATGTTAACAACTACAATTTTTTTAAGGTGTTATCTGTGAATAGTGTTCATGGCTTTGTTAGAGTGTGGTTGTTGTTACAGGAACAGTCTCTTTCACCTCAAAAGCCATCAARCATTTTGGCATAGATTTCACTGATGTTGTTCTTACAGAAACTGTAAGATTGTGATCTGGAATAGTGAACATTATAACCATACTTTAAGATGATTGTATGATGTAACTGCCTTGTCAACTGCTAGTGGCTGGGAGCAGAGCTGTCTGCAGCATCTTTACATTTGTACTTCTTTTCCTTTGTTACTGAGTTTCGTTGAGGAGGAACAGGACTCAGTATTTCAAGGGTGAGTTCTATACAAAACTAAGTTGCATCTTCCTTTATAATCTGGTTTTTCTGTGTTTTCTCCCTTTTTCAGGAGGATACAGATCATAATTATTATACATCAAGGACGTATGGCCCGTATGATTCTACCAGCCGGGATTTGTGGGTCAATATAGACCAAATGGAGAAGGACAAAGTAAAGATTCATGGSATCCTTTCCAATACCCATCGTCAAGCAGCAGTAAGTTATTTTATCATTTTCTTCTGTGTCTAACATGGATATTTTTCCCCAGTGACCCACACAGCAGTATTACTAAGTACCATGACTATTGTTCACAGAGCTCTATCTTTGAATTCTAGTTAAGCACTGAAAGTCTTTGCTCTGTTGTTATCAAATTATTTCAGGTTGCCTCTGAGCCTTCTATAGAAGAACCTYTCTAACAGTCCTTCAGAGATGCCTTTACAGATATATTTAAAATTTTCCTCTGTTCATAAGGATCACAACCTATCAAACAGTAAGCCATTTGTGTTGCTGAAATCAGAGGGAATTTTATTGTTGAGTTCAATAGTAACAGAACTGAGTTCAGGATGAAGTGGATGAAGTTTTAAGTCTCCCATGGAATGTATGTGGTTTGTTTGCACTTCTGCTTTATATTAAGTGTCACTTATTTCTCCATTTGGGAGAGCTGATAAAACTCATGAGAATCTCATGTAGTATCAGAAATGATGTTATCACAATTTCAGGTTATTAGCAAATAAACAAATTGCAGTGTGAATAACAATCATATTTAACTTATTGTGATCATGCTGCTGGTAAAATGGGTRTGAAAATAATGGGCTTACACACTTAGAAATTGAATCAAATACTGTGTGATTTAGAGATTATATTCTCAGTTCTCACCTGTGCCTRGAACCTGCATACGTAGAAGAAACAATATTAGAACAAATTAAATGCAGAAAATGACAGCTCGGAACTGTGTTCATGAGGTTCTTATTTCATCCACTCACCAACTTAACTCCAACAAAAAGTACTTGGGTTTTCCTGTCTTAAAGAAAAATCTAGTGAATGTCTTACTTAAAAATTGTACACTGTTTTGAGATGCAGGTGTATTTAACAGTTTCAAAGCTAAGAGAAGGCCCAATTTTAATTCGTATTTTCCTTTGTTTATCTGTTATCTCCCTGGCACAAGCCAGGTGACTGCTCAGGAGTGCAAGAGGCAGCAAAAAAGAAATACTGTGGTATTTAAGTCAAAATACAGAAAGCAGAGTGAGGTGATAAATCCAGCACATTTAACTGATAGAGAGTCCAAGTCAAAAAAATATATCCTTCAGAGTCAAAAGACCACAGGCAGTCAGGGATCATGTAAATGCAGAGGGTTCAGACAGTTGTATATCTTTTGGGGTGGACTTAATAAAACAGTRTATCAGCTATTTTCTTAAGACAATTTGATTCTAATGAGAGGAAAAAAACCTCAAGGATCCCTAACAGTGAAAACCTCTGTTATTCACACTGCATTGTCTGTGTTGAGGGAAAGAATGGAAATATGCCAAAAGAAGAGGTAATAAATAGATTTAAACTACCTATAAAAGGTGTAACATCTTTTCCTCTTAAAAGTAATTTATGAAATCTGGGACCTAAACATGAGTGAAATTCCTTTGAGAAACTGTAATCTGTGTTTAATGATTAGTGAAGGTGACACCTTCCATGTCTTTGTTGTAAGCACTTTTATTTCCAGTTGGATCCCTGAGATTATGCAACTATAGTGTCAGTTCCAAGGGAGACATTTTGTTGAAGTTATTAGAGGCTAAAACAAGGCAAGGTCTGGTGTGAGATCAGTGTCAAGGACCATTCAGCAAGGCAGATGGAGCCTGGAGGACTTCAACTGTTTCTCCCCAAAGCCAGTGATTTGAGACCTTTCTTCTGAATGTCAGGTGCCTTTCTGCCAGTTCTAGCAGAGAAGGCTAAAGGTCCTTCTTTAGCACACTCATATCCATCCCTTTTCATGCTTACCCTAATACCTTGCACTGTGAATTTGAGTGGCCTCAGCCCTGTCTACAGTTTTAAAGACCCCTCTTTCAGATTTATGTCCCCCTAAAAGATGAAAAGGTACCAGAGTGATCCTGTAAGGAAGGCTTTATTTATTCATGTGTTTTATATGTGTGTCCAAGTAAACAATATCCATATGTGCTGCACATCAAAGTTATTTAACAGAGAGATGTGATCCCTATAACTGTGGAGCTATAGAGAATTCTGAGATCATACATAACTCAGCAGCAAACTCTCACCTTCTCTCCCATAGAGATAAACTTTGCCATTACTCTTCTTAAAAGGCCATTTCGCACATCTTTCTGTGACTCAGTGATTTACAGACTGATAATTTCTAAACATTTTTAGATGTCCAATTTGACAGTAGAACCAGGAGTTAAATTATTACATACTAAGTATTAAGGAATTAATTTACAATTCCAGGATACTTTGAATGCTAAAAATTTTATGCTCAGTTTGTGTGTTTTCCTTCATTTGGAAATAAATAATCCTAAGAGTTCCCAAAAGCTGTCAGYTGGTTTTGCTTCTACAAGAAAAGTCAATAAAGAGAGAGGATCCATGAGATGGTTTGACCTTATAAACGGCATAGGAATTGTTTGTGGAAAGTTACAAACATATATTAATGGAATAAATAAAATGTTTAACACTACAGGATTTATATCACTAATGGTAAGGGTGTTTTTTCAATATATTATCATCATCTTCTTAGCCATATAATAAAGTTTTAGAGGTGGCTTTGATATTCAATTTGTTTAGAATGGATATCTAAGAACTGATTTCTCAAACTCTGAATACAGGATACCTCATACTTGGGAACTCAACTCCTTTATCTTCCAGACCATTCTATCATTTATGTATGGAGAAAACATTTTTAGTTCAGTGAGTTGAAAATTCTGATATTCTTTCTAAAGAGCAAAGGATGCTTTCTACCATCAAAATAAAAGCATAATTTTAGTGACTGTTAGAATATGGTGTTTTAAAATATTTCTTAAATCATGTTTGTTCTTTATTACAGTTTTATGCTAAACAATTGACTATTTTAAACATTTTTACATTGCCGGAATTTAAGGTATCACTTTTTTACAGAAGTCAATGGGATATTTATATTTGGCTTGAGTGGGAATGGGATCAAGCTTTTATTGCAAACATCTTTATACTAATGTTTATATTATAGCAATGTAGAAGACCGAGAAGGGAGCATGGTTTTGATTTGAAGTAGTTTAATGGTTATAGTGTATTTAGAAATTTAAAGCTAACAGTTAAAATAGAGCATGGCACTTTTTTTTTTACAAAGGAAAGAGGAAAAGTTTGGTCAGAAAATTGGTAGTTTTAACAGAGTTCTTCAAATTATGTTTAGTAGAGCAAGGACATAATTCAAATGGAGTTCATTCATAGATACAGCATACACTTCAGCAGTGAAAGCTATATAAGGTGGTAAAAGAGTATTTRTGTAAGCTAATTCATGTGCTGTCTTTTGCATATGCCATTTTTGATTAGAAATGTTCAGTTGTGCATCTGTATTTATGTATATACAGAAAAGGTCATTAGAACATAGTCCAATTAACACAATGCAAATGGATTCTGCATTCTAATTAAAAACAAACAAAAAATGTGCTAATAAATCCTGTCAAAGTTCTGTCTTCCACTTTCCACTTAAATGGAAAGCAAATCTAATTTRAAGTTACTGTAAATCTTCAACTGCTAATTTCATGCTAAATAATTCTTTAAACGTTTCTGATGGATGTAAATATAACTCAGGAATGAGAGAAGATATAATTTGAAATAATAATAATTTGAAAATAATAAACACCAAACAGAATATTTCTTTATACATCATTCCATCTCCTAGCTGACAGTGTAGAGAGGTTTGGGAGCTGGAGTCATATGGGTTTGATGGAGGAATTACCTTCCAGTGACCAGCCTTCATCAGACAAGCACCCAGGCAGCAGCAGGATGTCAGGGACAGCACTTGAATCTGAAGRTTCTTATGGCAGAGCTGCAGAAAATCAGCAGCCAAGGTTGCAGGCATCCTGTAAAACACAGCTGTGGCTAAGGCTTGAAGTATTGATGGGTCCTTTTAAGAAAGAGTTTAAAGCAACATTTTCTTTCAGGAGAAACTCTACAAATCTTTATTAATTTTATTCTTGTGGTTGAGTTACAGTGTCTGTTCATGCATTTTCTTTTCTGAAATTTTTCTGTTATAAAGATCTGCTGCTTTAAGTGTTTAAGTGCTCCTCGGAATTCTTTCCAGTTAGCTACTGGCAATTCAAAATTAAGAATAACAAGGCTCCAGTGAAAAATAAAAAGCAATGAAACAGGTATTTGAAGTGGCTGACTGTTCATCCTTTTTTTCTCTTAATGTTCTTCTCAATATTGATTTTATTTTCTGGTGTTATTCCTTTCAGAGAGTGAATCTGTCCTTTGATTTTCCATTTTACGGACATTTTCTACGTGAAATTACTGTGGCAACTGGGGGTAAGTGTCTTTCTAATAATTTACTTTGAATAAGATGAGAGGAGTTTCTTGCAGCTATTTAAAATACCTTCCCCCCCCCCCTTGTATATGTCAAAAGATAAACTGCAGCTTTTATTTAGGAAATTTTCCTGCCCACAAAAAGAAAATCACAAAATATCAATACAATGAAAAACCTTCAGCAGTTCAAGTTGAACTGTTACAAACCCATCTCACCTTAAGTCYTTACAGCATTAATCCTTTTTCTGTTTAGATATTTCCCCCAGAATGCAGGTGTGGGTGTGTAGCAGCTGCTGAGGGTGCTGGAGCCAAAAGAAGGAGGGAGCAGGGTTTGCCTGCATGAGGGGAGAGGATTTCCTGCCCAAAGATGAGAAGTGCTGCTAAAAGTACCACGTGTGTCACCTGTAAGGAGAGCCCTTTGCAGTGCTTTGTCGTGCTGTGGAATGGCCTCCAAAAATGTACCAACCATGGCATTCCTCTCCTCCTTCCATGTGGGGGGAGAAGGGAGGTGGGGCACAGCTCGAGCTCCCAGTCTGGCAGCTCTGGGCACCACTGATGGATCAAGATTTGGATTCTCTCTCCCACTGCTGCTTGCACCCATCTCCTGCACCGGGAACAGCCATCAGCTCCTTCTGTTCCCCTCCCACTCCACCTCCTTGAAAGACAATGTGATTCTAATGAGATGAGGAGAAGGAGATAATGTGGGAGACAACAAACGAGATAAAGGAAAAAGAGTAATAGCAAAAAAAATGAAAACAGGGAGGCAAAAGGCAGCATCACGGAGARCACATCCACAGGATCCTCTGGTGCTTGATTGTGTCCAGCAGTTCATGGACTCTGGCTGCTGGGGCTCTGCCTAGAGATGTGAGCCCCCATCATCAGGAGCAATCCTACCCTGTTCCTGGTCAAAGTTTCCCCTTCTCTTGCTCTGAGGGTCCACATGATCAGGATCAGGGGATATTCATGTCCCACTGGAGTCCTGAACRGGCAGGTTATGACTAAAAGATTGGGGTAGAATTGCAGCTGATGTCTCAACAAGAGTAGGGACAGAAAGGGAGGTTCCTGTCATGTTCCCCATCAGGATCTCCATTTTGCTACCAAAGCAGAATACAAGTGATGGATAAAGGTGAATAAAGTCTGATAATAAATGCTTGATTTGCAGCAGAAGGATAAAAATGGATGCAGAATTATGAGGTGACTTCAGTATCAGTTTTCTCTTCTTGATCAGCAATGACATTTTCATGCTGATTTGGATCAGATGAACCAAGAACTACTGATTTTGAGACTGATTTTAGTTTCATTTCATTGCTTGATCATCAATGCCTAGTTCTGTACTCTTTATTTGAGGAGTTGCATTTGATGGGCTGCCAAAATCAAGTGYCACGATCTGTGTAGCATGAAAGAATGGGATGGGGGGATCCCGCACAGCTAAAACAGCAGTGGTGGGGACAGGGTTCATCTTCTAAATGTCTCATTATTCTTACTGTTGTACTTAGTTCCTGAAAATTTCACAAAGTTCACTCTCTCCAAGTAATTCATTTTGTGTGGCCATTCTGCTGAGCCTTCCCATTTAATGGAAGTCCTTTAAGTTTAATTTGCTCAATTTCTACTTTATAAAATATTATTGTTATAAATAGATCTATGGATTATTGTCAAGCTAAATAGGACCTTAAAATCAGTCCTTTTAATGTAAACTATTGACATTAGCACAGAGATATTTCTGTCTTTTGTTGACATATCCAAGATTTTTCAACCTCAAAATTAGGCATGAAAAATATCTAGCTAGTAACAGATTTTAAGATGTTATCTTGATAAAGCTCAGTAACTGTAAATCATTTTTTCAGTCAAGGATAAGATGCAAACTTTATTACAACTATAAGACTCCTAAACTCACGTAGCAGGAAAGGAAAGTTTTTTTTCTGTACTGTCTAAAAGTACTTTGTTTTGGATATATTTGCAAATTTTGTTGCTAGGCTAAGCACCACACTTCACCACCAATGATTTATGGTAACAAAAGATAAATACAGGTTCTCCGTATGCTTTGTATACTATAGAGTCTGCTATTTCTTAGTAACCAAGATTTTACAATGGCATTACTATTATTAGAGACCTGGAACACCTCCAGAGGTTATTCTGRAATCAAAAGAATGACAAAATTAATACATACAGGAGTCCCACATGACAGATATCCACTTCCTGGAGAGCAGGATATTGTTAATTATGCTAATGACAACACTACAAACTGTTTTTACATCCAAATCATAAATTAAATGACCTCCTTAAAAGGGAAGTTGAGGACAATGGCACATTAAATCCCTGTCGCAATAAAAACATCTAACCCTATGGTTTCTGCYGTTCTTCATGGAGTGCACTGTGCCATAGTAGGGTTCCCAAACTCTCTGAGATGATTTTGAAATCACTGGGGCTTAAAACTCAACTTTTTTTTTCTCTTTTCTCTTTCTCTAGCTAATATTTATTTCCTTTTCTGAATAGYTTTGATGAACTGATTGTGTTAAATGAAGAAAAGGAAGAACAGGGAATGAAAATAAATCGTTTGGGGGTCTTAGTCATTGATGTGACTTAGCTTGTATTTTTAATATATTAGAATTAAACTTATTATTAATATAATTAGTAATTGGTTCTTTGCTATATGGCTTCTTTGCCCATAAGCTCTCAAAAGTTTATAATAGTATCACCAGAAGAAGCTGAATTTTGTTTTTTGTRAAGCTTTCTAAAGTTTGGCCCTACAGGCCAAAAATGTGGTTATTTTCATTTAAAAACATTCATGAGATAGCAAGTTGTGAATATCAGGAGCTGAGTATATGAAGTCTGTTTTTTGCCAGACACTGATGCCCCTCCCGGAGCTCAGTGGAGCTGGGAAAACCCTCTCTTGTGGTGCATCTCTCCCTGCAGTGYCATAACCCTTCTCATGGGCATCCCTAAAGCTCTGTGCCCCACATCCTACTCAACCTGYAGCAAACTTCATTGATGGCTCTATTCATTTTCCATGTTCATAGTAGTAAGCACCTCTTGTTTATTCTCTGTGGGTTTTTTGGTTTGTTTTGCTTATCAGTCTCTGTTTGTTAGTGCAGTTTTATATCAGATACTGTAAATTATTGAGTTGGGTTTTTTTTCTTTTAAAGCCTTTTTCATTGGTATTAAATTTCTCTGTGGCATTGCAGGGAGCAGRAAAAGCCTTGATGCTGTGCAAGCATTGCCCAACATTAACAAAACAAAACAATAACAGTAGAAATGGAAGTGACTGGGTGGTTACATTTTTAGATTTATATAGCTGACTATTGAGATATCTTGGCAGCTAGCATGAAGAAGGCTCCAGAAATGTCCACCTACCCTGTGTAATAGCAAATTGCTGAAGTTGAAACAAGCAGCTGAATTACTAAATATTKTATTAAATTCTGGTGAGATAACATTTGGTGAATCATCTTTCAGTAGAGGTATATTCCAGATGGAGGAATTGTTAGAAATAATTCTTGAGGATTATGCCTGAGCATTTCTACCACTGTCAATAATCGAAGGAGTACCAAAGAAATGAAAAGCCATCCTATCAGTAAATCCCACTGTAATCAAATTAAAGTTGGTAATTTACTARAACAGAAATCAGGAACTCTTTTTATGATTATTACTTCCTAARGTCAGATGTCATGCTTAAGAATACTTATATTTATGAAAGAAAGAGATCTTTGTACATCCAAGATTCACACAGCTTTTCATCAAAACTGCAACTGTCCTATGCTCTATTGACATAAGATAGGAACACAAGCCTTGAAAACAATGAAATTGTTTTTCTGATGAAACCTGATGTTATTGGATCTTGTGTTGAGGAGCAGCTGTGAGGTACCTGAGCATGGTTTCTAAACCCTGACTAGTCAGGACAACTGTWTCAAAGTAATCTTTCATTCTCACAAGGAATCACACTTCTTTTAGTATCAGATTCCTTTAAAGTGTACATATGGCTTGTGGGAAAATAGCAGAGGCAAAATACCTCACGTTAGCTGCTTAAAAGCTGAAGTTCTATACAGAGATAACACTTTGAATTTCCTTTTGGACATTGCATATGTTTTTATGGTTATGGAATTCATGTTTAATTTTACTGTCTTCAGTGTAGCAGGAGGGATATGAAAAACAAGGACCAAAGTGTGGAGAGTTTTAATATAATTTCCATCACATTTTGCAGTACTTTCAGGAAATAAGGATTAATGAAAGAGAGAGCATGCTGTGGGGAAGGAATAAAGCCTGATGTTGCACTGTCTGAGCCCTATTTTGGCACACAGAGCAATAGCTCTGAGCAGGAGGGAAATTYGTCCACATAGCTGGTGGTGCTGTGGAAAGAGAAGGGTCCACAGGGTCAGGRCCTGAGCTTGTTAAGGATGAGGATGGCTGTGCATTTTCAGCCTGMAGAAAGTCCATGCTAATGAAAAATTATCTGGAAATTTCTAGTCCTCAAGAAATGATTATGCTTAATTTTCCCTGCATCTCATCATCTCATTTTTCTTTTAACTTTCAAACAATTGGATAGGTAGGTAAGAGTGAAATTTATCTGCCTCTTTGAATTATCAGTGTCCTGAGTGGAGCATTTTGTTGGAGTCTGTCAGAAATCTCAGCAAGGCTTTTCTGKCTGTTCCTGCTGCTCTGAACCCGTCAGCACAGGAGCCAGCAGGAGATGTGTTCATCACTTAATGAAGAGCTCATTGATAGCACAAATTACTCTATGGGCAGCATCTGTTAAATGGCAAAGGTGATGCCAAGCAGAGTGAAACACAGTGTTTGTAGCCAAAATCAGTGGCTCAGACTGGCTCGTGTGTTACAGGGGATTACATTGTCATCACTCTGGAGGTGCTGCAGAGGTCTGGCTGCTGACTGGCTCACAAAATTGCCTTCGTTTACCTTGTCTTTTGCTGATGTCTTACATTGCCCTGCAGTTGTTACAAAAACTTTCTCTCTGCAAAGATTCCTTTTTTTGTTATTCCTGTGTCAAGTGTATT